TGCTTTGAGACGCTTGCCAGACTCTGCCTCGCTCAAAATCATTGTCGCCATGCTTGATTTCCGCAACATTTACATTTGTTTATAATTTCCACAGCTATTGTTCTATGAGATGCGTCATCGCTGTTCATAAACAGCCATAAACAAGTTTAGTTGGGTCGGCATGTACTCATTAAAAGTGTTGGTTTATTTACGTAATCCACTGATCACGCCATAGGCGAAGTTAAAAATATGTCGCTACTCAGGAGAGCTTGTCCACAACGCTAAATGTCCCAAATAAACGTACCGGTACGTTTATTTTTTTCCCAGAAAAATTCCACCCGGTACATTCTTATTTGGGACGGTACGTTTATTTATTGTTCTAAATCGGCCCGATTAAAAAAAATCATTCCTTTTCCCCCTATGAAAAACAAGCCAAAAGATCGCACTGAAACATCGGTAAATCTGGTTTTCCGTGTTGCTTTCACCATGAGGTCGCTGAACTGTCATATTTAAATGCTTTATGGTAATTTGAGCACATGGGCACCATCCAGCATTTTGAGTGGTTGATTAGTGACTTGACCTATCTCGTCAATAAACACTCCTTGTGCGAAGGATAACATGGCGGATATCGTATCGCTTTGGGCGTTAACATGTAACCGAAAACATTTGCTTACAATAAAACTAAGTTGAATTTTACTTGCATTTCATAACAATTCAACGAATTTATTTTTTGTACGTTAATATAGTCACTACTGAGTACTAATCAACAATTACAACACTTCGAAAACAAGTAAGCTACCGTACCAACATTTCATGATGCCTATTGTGGAACCAAATTAGGGCCTTTCACTCTTCCTTGATGCCTATTTAAACGACTATACGGCATCTTGCTTTTCGCCAGCCACGAATGTCACACTAGACGAACATGATTGATACTGCCGATCATTCCATGCATTTTTTATCGACGCACGACGGCACGCAAATCGAGAAAAGTATTGTCCTTGCAACAATTTTGCACAATACGTCACCACTATACAGTGACTGATTTAAATTTTTATTCAACATTAAAACAAACTACAGTGAGTTGTTCTATGGTTGTATAAAAATAAAATAAACTACATTAAGACACAGTAAAGTTAACCAACTAAACAGAATGCTTAATAAAGCTAAATAATATTACAAACACATATAGAATCACAATAAACTTGTACGATACAGTACAATACAATACTCTAACTACTATTGC